CACACACACACACACACACACACACACACACACACACACACACACACACACACACACACACACACACACACACATTTTTTTTGCCGGTATGAGAGGTGGAGCAGTAGTTGCAAACATCAAGATGGAGTAATGATAACAGAAGACAGAAAAAGAGAGAGAGAGGGATAAAGAAGAATTAGGAAATTATGGTGCAGCTCTGAGGAATACAGAAGAATGAAGAGAGAGTGATGAAGAAGAGTTAAGGAACAATACGTCAGAAAAGAGAGAACCAGACGCTGCTGCCGCCGCAGCAGCAGCTACAGAAGCAGCTGCAGAAGAAGACCTAGATGCTGAAGAGGGAAAGGAGAGGGGTTGGTGGAAAAAAGTGGGGATGACTTACCGTGTGATTACGGTCCAAGGGCCTTGCTCCAGTACTCACCAAATGTGAGAATGAATCTTGTGCTACAACGTGGAAATGTACACCGCCATATGTTTTGTCGTTTGTGCATGTGGTCACTGTGGCGAGTCGTGGAGCGAGGCCCCAAGTCCGTTGACAGAGGCTCCTTCTCCTCTGCCAGTAGGTGCGGAGTGTGCTAGATACTATGAGCCGGCGTGGCAGGGGGAGAGGAGCAAGAAATGCACAAATTGTGGTGTTGGGGGAGGACGATTAAGTTTGAATTCCAAGTCTGTACTTGGCCTTCGAAAGTGAGGTCCCTCAGACACCCATAATGTGTTGTCTCAAGCTGTGTGAAGGCCATCCTGCTCGGAGTCAGTCTTTTGCGTGACTCCTCACTGTTTGGGCATGCGGACTGTTCGGGGGCCCTGGGGTTGTGGCTATGTTGGCGGTGGTGCCGTTTTTCACAAGTTTTGACGGTATATGCTGTTTTTGATGACAGAACCTATGCTGTGGCTACTGGAGTCGTTTTCTTTTCTTTTTTTTTTTGAACAGAGCTCCATTCTATTTCTGGGGAGTGGATGGAGTCGTTTTGACTAAGTGGGTCGACCCTTTGCTTCTTGCTTGTTCCTGATCGGGGTCAATTCATTTTTATGGGCATGCAGCGCTGGACGTTCCCAGGGGGGAGCTAACCAGGCGGGTTGTGGGTTGGACCTGCCTGGCAGGGGGGTGGACTGGCAATTGGGGGGAAGCTGGGGGAGGGTGCGCGCCTCCCAGGCCGTAACCGAGGTCCAAAGTTTAGGCAATCAGAACCTTGGAAACATTCGAACTCGTATGGCTATTTAGTGTTTATAGTAATTTATCTAACAACTCCCATAAAACTTTTCGGCCGCGGACGCGACTCTCGCGTCTGCGATGGTCCACGTTAGTGTTTTCCCGTGGAGACGTCCGACGTAAAAATTCTGACCACGTTAGTGTTTTCCCGTGGAGACGTCCGACGTAAAAATTCTGACGCGCGAGTGACTAAGTCGTGAATCGTGAGACGTCCGATGTAAAATTCTGACGCGCTTTTTGGCTGCGGACGCGACTCTTGCGTCTGCGATGGTCCACGTTAGTGTTTTCCCGTGGAGACGTCCGATGTAAAAATTCTGACGCGCCAGTGACTAAGTCGCGAAGCGTGAGAAGTCCAATGTGAAATTCTGATGGGCCTGACGTGGCGCGCCTGACGCGTTTGTTTTGTTTCGGGCGAGCGTTTCGTTTTGTTTTTTGAGTTTTGCTTTCTTTTATCGTTACTTTTGGAAAAGAGGCCGGGCGTTCGAATCCTTTAAAGTAGCCTGTAGTGGCCATCGAGTGGGGGTTTCCGAGTTGCACTGATTTTTGTTTATTGTTTTTGGTTTTCTTTTCTTTTGTCTTACGCGCCTGATGCGGCGGGCCTGACGCGTTTGTTTTGTCTCTCTCTCTCTCTCTCACACACACACACACACACACACACACACATGCACACACACACACAAAAAAAAAAAAAGGTAAAAGAAAGTGGCAGTGTATATT